AGGCCACACTCGCAGACGCAGGGGTGTGCACTCAGTCAGGCCACATATACAGATTAGGTACAGGTTCAGCTATGTGCACAGTCAGACCACAAATACAGAAGAAGGGCAGAGGTAAGTGTGCTCAGAACACACACAGATGAGGTGCAGGTACAGATGTGTGCACATAGTCAGGCCACAAAGACAGCCACACCCGGGATAGACACAAATGCATACAGTCAGGCCGCAGATGTACACAGATCAGAGACGCACACAGTCAGATTACAGGCACAGATAAGATGCAGACACAGATATGTGCAGTGTCAGGCAAATGGCACAGGCTGGACAGAGGCACAGACATGAACACAGTCAGACCACAGGGTGCCAGCCAGCAGAGATGGACACGCACACACACACACACACCCCTCTAGCAGATGCATCCGGCACACAGTCAGACCTCAGGCACCCACAGACTCAGATGGGACGCAGGAAGGTCACACATCAGTCAGGAAAACACAAAACACACAGACCTCGAACATGTGAAATGCACACAGTGGGTGCCACATAGGCCACGGGGGCAGCCAGGCAGGCCATACAGTTACACAGTTAGGTCCCAGGGAGATATCAAGACACTGTCAGATCAGAGACCCGCCAGCCCAATACACGGGTAGGTACACCAAACACACACACACACACGCTGCAGACAGGCCATGCAGAGAGCAGGCCACCCCTGCACACAGGCATGTGCCCACTCTGCAGACACAGTGCCAGCGGGGTTGGCTAAATGGGGACATGAGTGTCCGGAGTGCACACCATCCTGGACCACAGTAGGGCCCTTAAGTGACCAAAGTGACCAGTGAGGAAGGTTAGTGGCCCTGGCTGGGAACAGCTCCTGGGCAGCTGGGGCTAGGTGGCCACAACAGCTGGTCCCACCCACAGACACCCAGCTGCTGGCCACATGGGGGAAACGGAGTCTGCTTAGCATGCCTACTGCCCAGAGCAGCCAAAACCCTGGGCGGTAGGGTCTCTCCTGTAGCCACCTCTTCCCACCACTTACCCCTGAGCTCCCAGCCCTGGCTGCTGCGCCCACATTCACCAGCCATGGGTGGGGCTGGCTGGGGACCCCCAACTCCCCTGCTGCAACTTGTTGGGGAGGGAGCGGCCTGGGGGCTTCAGAGGCCTGGTGATGGACATGGGGGTGGGCAGCAGACACCAGCCAGAAAACTCTCAGGCTTCACATCCACCCTTGAGAGGA